ATTAATGAGAACACGTGAAATGAAATGAATGCATTACTTTTCTCTTCCCATTGATAATATTTTCCATACCTTCTGGTAGCAATTTTAATTACGTTCTATATTGTCTAGTAATTAATTTATTTTCCCTATATAATTCTCCATTATTAATTTTAATATTTATTATACAATTATGATGTATAAAATATATGTATATTATTATAATAATCAAAAAATTGAGAATTTCATACTATTTTATTTCATCTCTTTGTTTCAGAACGAGGATGTAAAATGACGCAGAGGGAAATTACCATTGGTGAGTGAAAGTTTGAATTTTGAGAATTCTGCAATTGAAGTGACCAAATTTAAATAGGCTTAATTAATTAATTAGAGGAATCCGACAAAGCACTGAAGAAGATTATGTTTCTGTAGAAGATTATCGAAGCTACAGAACATTTATTGAAACGCAATAATGAATGCTGCACTTTTTAATCCTGCAAAATTGGATCATAATTACGTTAGATTTTAACGTGAAATTAATTAATAACGTTAGGATAAATTAAATTTTTGGGAACAAAAAGGATAACAAATTTTCCACCTCATTTCGAATATAGCAAATTTAATTAAATTTCATTTCTATATACCGATTTTTGATTCCTTAAATCGAATAAAATTTAATTATTTGATTATTTAATTAAAATTTAATTATTTAAAAATATCAACGGTTATGGTAAAGTTCATTTTCTATGAGTTCTACGTATTTTAAAAAAAATTCATATTTACCTAAATTTGCCTAAATTAGGATATAGTATATTTTGAAAAATTCGTGCGAAAATAGTTGGCAGACAATATTTAAAGGTGGCATTGGTGATCGAACAGCGATGCTTCCTGATTTTTCAACAATGTCGTGGCCAATGCAACGAAATCTTGCGTTGGCTCCTTGTCAAACACATATTCTTTACACTTCATCTGCCTTCAGACGAATAGATGGAGAAAAGAGAAGTTACGAGAAACTTTGAGCATCAGATTCGTGATTAATAAAGGAACGAGGACGCACGTTGTCGGAGAATGCATATTGGGTGTCTGAAATTAGTATAAAATTTTATTTTTAGAAGTCAAAATTACCGATTTATTTTTTTCAAGGTTAGAAGTGTATTAAATGGAAGGATTGTACCGAAAATATGAGAATCGAGTTAATTTTATTCAATTCTTTCTTCCACGATTAAGCAACGATAAATAATTGATAAAAAGAAATTGGTTGAAGTTTATTTAATTTATATTCGTTTATTGTAAATCGCTAAGTTAAACAAAATCCATAAGAATATTTAATCGTTTGAAAAATAATAAAAAAATATGATATTTACGAGGGATAGATAAAAAATAAAAAATAAAAAAGAAAAAAAGTAGGATGTGTGCGAGTGGGACAACAAACTGTTGAAAAAATAAATAAGAGAAATGGGACGTAAAAATGTGAAGCAATGCCGCAATAAAAGTTCATGTGCTATTGCACCGCAATATTGATTTACCATTTATACCATTCTATCAGTGTAAATATCTATTGCTTAAATAAAATTCTCCATTCCTTTCAATCTCTTCATCGACAGATATTTTATTATCTTCGTTTCATACGATTTACGGATTAATATATTCGATTTTTAAATAATCTAAAGCTCTTCGTAAACAACGTGCCCAATCGTTCGAAATAGAATATTAAATCTATCATTCGCTGGTCAGAGATTTCAAATAAAATACTTTCGGGTCGTCCAATTTTCGAAAAAATATCGAAAATGCAGCTTTTAAATAAAATTTTCTAGAAATTTCTTAGAAATTTACTAAAATAAACATTATTAGCTAATACTACAAAGTAACAAAAATATTTCCAATGAATAAAATTTGAAAAATTACCCAAAATTCCTAAAAACTGCCAATTATTAAAATTTTGAGGCGAATGATAAAAATTTTTCTCACTCACTGTACTTTAATTAGGGAAGTCGACGAAACTTTACTAAAGATTTACTAGAATCTACTAGAATAAAAATTATCGGCTAATACTATAACGTAAAAAAAATATTGCCAATGAATAAAATTTGAAAAATTACCCAAAATTCCCAAAAACCCCCAATTATTAAAATTTTGAGGTGAATGATAAAAATTTTTCTCACTCACTGTACTTTAATTAGGGAAGTCGACGAAACTTTACTAAAGATTTACTAGAATCTACTAGAATAAAAATTATCGGCTAATACTATAACGTAAAAAAAATATTGCCAATGAATAAAATTTGAAAAATTACCCAAAATTCCTAAAAACTGCCAATTATTAAAATTTTGAGGCGAATGATAAAAATTTTTCTCACTCACTGTACTTTAATTAGGGAAGTCGACGAAACTTTACTAGAAATTTACTAGAATTTACTAGAATAAAAATTATCAATTAATATTTTAAAGTAGGAAAAATATTTCCAATGAATAAGACTTGAAAAGTTCCTCAAAATTCTTAAAAATTTCTAATTCCTAATATTCTTGGACGAGTTATTGAAATTTCTCCCTCTCTAGACGAAATTTCCGTGCCACCCCGTAGATGGGGAACACGGCAGCACCGCGGGGGTAAATATAAACGGGGTCCTTAATGAAATCGTTCCGCGACTCGATCGCCTTCGCGGTGTTATTTTTGTCAAAAGACTGCACGAGGATTCGTTGCATCTGCTCGCGATATATCAGCTCGCGGAACAAAATGCGCGGATCTTCTTTGCCGTCATTTTGGACCACGGCCAACGAACGCTCGCCATTCCATTCGATACAGAGTCCGATAAGTGTTCTCGTTAACCCATTGAGACCGCGTAACGAGAGGCAAACTCGTGACCGGGAATCGAGAATATCGAAGGCCAATGTTAGGTATGATCGAATTTTCTTCCAACCATTTCCTGCCACGAACGATTTCATGCTCATTCCCCCTAAGACCTGAGGAAGGAAAGTACCGTACTGTGGAAATATTTATTTAATCCCAAAATCGAACTGACAGATGATTTCGCTCACGATTCTACGAAAATATATATCTTTCCACAAGATCTTATATATTGATCGTAAAATTAAATTAAAAAATAATTTTTATGAAAATGATATAAGGATGTTTAATCACAAAATTGAAAATTGAATTAGAGTATTTAATTATAATAAAATTGAATGAGGATATTTAATTACAATATTGAAAATTGGATTAAAAGACACTTTTAGTCACGATGATATTAAAATATATATATATATATATATAATCGTGAAATCAAAGTGGAAAATAATTTTGGTCACGATGCTACGAAAATATATATTTAATCACAGGGTGAAATAAAAATATAGTTTATCGAATTTTCGAAATGTAGGATTATTAAACACTATAATGGAATTTTAAAATTGAAGTTTTTAAAGAAATAGGAAATGATATATATTTATCATATTTTTCACTGTGGCTCTCGTAGATATTAATATAATAATCCCCTGTTGAATAGTATAATAATTTACAATTAAAAATTGCATATTCCATATTTTACAAATATTATGTTATATTTTTATTAAGAATTAAAATTTTCTAGGTTTTGCTTAATTCATTAATTTAAAATATTAATTTATTAATTTAAGATTTTAATTTGTTAATTAATTTCTCCAAACATAAATAAAAAATTTCTTCTTTCCTTATTCTTCGAGAATATTTTCAATAATATTATTTATTGCTTCTCGTTAAAATTATTAAACATAACAGAATCAGTTCTTATATTACAATTTACATTGTCATCGGTTAATACCATCATTTACCATCGTTATCATCGTTATCACTGTGATGAATTTTTTCCTTAACAGACTCCTTTAAAAAGAAGGAGGGAGAAATATGAAAAATTGGAGGTGCACTGAAACGAACCGTGTTAAATAAATTCGCGAAAGAAATTGGACAATGCGTTGGTTGCAATTTCAAGTAAACAAGCAAATATTTGCTTGGAAGGTTTACGATTCAGTGGCGTTTAAAACAACGATATGTAGTCCCCGTCAATTTGAACGGTTTACGAATCGGGGTGGAAGCTAGAGAAAATAAAAATCGGGACAATTATTTACGCCAGGCGTATTATCAACACTTTCCACTGCTGCTTCTCACGCTCTTTGCTACTTTATGCGCAAACGCTTTTAACACTTTGCTGAATTTATCGTCGAAGGTTTCACGAAAGGTGGAAAAATCGGAAATTGCGGTCACTGTGGTAGAACGCCTCACCTTATGGAACACGTACGAATAATTTACGAGTATTATATTAATCACCACTAATGGTGCAACTTACTATCTTTCTCAGAGATTACGAGTGCAGAAAAATATTGGAAAAAGAAAAAGACTCGATAGAAATATTATATTTACTATTAAATAAATATTTTACCATTATGCTAGCATTGAATAAAAGATAGTAAATTTGGAAAGAAAATCGGAAAATTTGGATTTACAGCAGACACTTAATACGATATTAATACATTGTTAAAATCTCTCTGACACTTTCAAGGTCCAAAAATTTGTTAAAAAATAATATCCCTGTAAAAGATGCGGTACGAGACAAAAGTTGAGGTAAAAATGCAACCGAGCAAAATAATCGAAATTTACGAATTGTCAATTATAATTGACAGCGTATAGTTACCTTAAATTAATAAAATCCGCAACGAGGCTAATCAAATTTCGCAGCCAAGCAAATTAAGTTCGCAAATTCACTCTAGTCGTTTATCCATCGAATCGAATCAGTCAAACCACATAGCAACCTCTCCACTGTCTATTACCTGCCAATGATCACTATTCGCACTCTCACCTAACTCTAGCGAGCTAATCCAAAGATCCTCCTGCACTCTCCACCTAAAAAGTACTCTCGGAAACAGTCTAGCATGCAATTTGTTTATATAGCCTATGCAAACTAGGAAAAGACAATTGACAGGCTAGATGAGATGCAAAGAAATAAAATTCCATGGAAGGAAATGCCAATAATAATCGAAATTCGCGTTGGACCATCAGGTCTCCTCTATCCCTCTGTTAGGCGTGACACGAAAGTCCTCCTGGATCTCGATTAGGCTCTTGCCAGTGTTGTCCTTCACCACGATGGCGCAGAACAGAGCTATCAGCCAGCATATGGCAGAGGACAGCCACATGACCTTCGTATCGCCCAGGGAGATGATTATCTCGTCGAAAGTTAGCGTGGCCATCAGCGAGAACAGCCATCCGAGAGCGACCGCGCCGGAAACCACTGGAGTCTTCAGTTCTTGCGGAAGTGTGTCGCCTAAGAGAGACCAGGAAATTGGTCCAAGACCTAGATTGAACGAGGCGAAGATCAGAGTGATCCAGGTAGGCGACATCCAGTAGTAGATGTCGTCGTACTCGGGGTCGCTGTCACGTAGGCTGAAGAACCAACCTGGAATGGAGAAAGCAAAATGTATAAAATGGCATAAAATGGGAAAATGGCGGTGGAATGGGAAAATGTAAATGGTGGAGTGATGATTGGCAGGCTACCATGGGTTCTAAATTATTATCGTTCAAATTGTTAATTATTTGTTAACTATTGTATTACCGAGTGATTAGAATTTGATTTGTTAATATTGGTATCCAATAAAATTACTGATTTTTAATTATAATTAAAGGAAAATTTATAAGATGGTGGGAAAATGGTAGTGGAATGGAGAAATGTAAATGGTGGAGTGATATCTGGTAGATTACCATGGGTTCTAGATTAATATCCTTTAAGTTGTTGTTAATTATTTGAGTACTATTATATATTATCGAGTGATTAGAATTTGATTTTTTAATATTGGTATCGCATAAAATTACTGATTTTTAATTATAATTAAAGGAAAATTTATAAGATGATGGGAAAATGGTAGTGGAATGGAAAAATTTAAATGGTGGAGTGATAATTGGTAGACTACCATGGGTTCTAGATTAATATCCTTTAAGTTGTTGTTAATTATTTGAGTATTATTATATATTATCGAGTGATTAGAATTTGATTTTTTAATATTGGTATCGCATAAAATTACTGATTTTTAATTATAATTAAAAAAAAAACATTATGTGACAACAATATTAAAAATTGGCAACCAATACATTGAACGTACAGTAGCAATTCGTGAAATTACTGATTTTTAATTATAATTAAAGGAAAATTTATAAGATGTTGGGAAAATGGTGGTGGAATAAGAAAATGTAAATGGTAGAGTGATAATTGACAGACTACCATTAATTCTAAATTATTATCGTTTACGTTGTTCTTAATTATTCGAGTACTATATTACCGAGTAATTAGAATTTGATTTTTTAATATTGGTATCAAATAAAATTACTGATTTTTAATTATAATTAAAACAAAACATTATGCGATACCAATATTAGAAATTGGCAACAAATACATTGACCGTACAGTAGGAATTCTTAAAATTACTGATTTTTAATTATAATTAAAAACAAAGAAATTAAGAATTCTTATTGTACGTTCAATGTATTGGTTGCCAGTTGAATCGTATTAATAATTTAGGCCAAGTGTATATTTTCATAATATTTTTTGAGGAACTGGTCCAACAAGTTTATTGCAAGTATATTTTAATTTCATATAACGATAAGATTCTCAATTTTCTTAAACTCGTAAATAAGAATTACTACTCTTATTATATTCTCTATTCTCTATTTGTCTGTATTGAAAATTATTTAGAAATAGAACTCATTTTTGAAATAAATTGACAAACACGTCGCGCGATAAATAAGAAAATATTAGGGGGTTGTTATAAAAATACTATGGGGTTGTTATTCGACTCGAAAGTTGAGGTGCGATCCCCTGTTTGAGTTTCCAATGAACGACTGAATTAACAATCGATGCAGGGTCTATTTTGATTTCTTAATACGCGCTATGTAACGTGCACCGGAAGTATTGCAGAAGAAGTCGTATTTTCAGCTGGCCCAAAGCCAGCGTCGTAGACGTGCCCATCGAGCAGGTCGATTTTTCTTCGGAAACCCTAATCGACTAGGGGCAAATAAACACGCGCGATATTTATCGAATCTACTTAAACGAAAGTACTGGCATCGGTAATGAGCGTCGGTTATCAAACGCGGTCGTTATTAACTAATCTTTCGCGCATCGCTTATAATTAATTCGAGACGAGTAATAAACGACCGGTAAATAACAATAAATAACGTAACGCGGATTTTCGTTCAAATTACAGGGCAATCACGATCCCTCGAAGTTGTACTTATTTTATACACGATATACACTTCGTACTTTAATCTTTATATTAACAGAAAATTTGTCAGTCTTTCTCTCCTTATTTTTCCTTGAAAGTCTAGAGAAATTTAAAAGATAAAAATTCGAAAATCGTTACATCGTTTTTTAATTTTTGTCAGTGAAACTGTATTTGTTCCATTTTTATATATCTTTTTTAACGAATATGGGATATTCAAATTGAAGCTTATAATGAAAATAATGATAAATAAATTATAGAGAGGAGTCAATTTAAAAATTTCTGTCGCAAATTTTGGTGCAAAAATAATTTCTGTTAATTCGAATGAAAGAAACAGATATTTGGGTATGAAGTAAAAATTCGAAGGGGAAAGTATTATGGAATATTTGGAGTAACAGCAGTTACAAGAGGCTATTGTATGGAGTAGATAGAACGATTCGTTGGATCAACTATTTCAGCATCGTTTACCTAGCAGTATAAGGAATAATCCCATGAGAAGGGAGGAAGCAGTGAGGAGAATTCGACGTCCTAGCACGTCGACGAGGAACGCGGCCAAGAGGGATACCAATATTTGAACGGCACCGACGACCAGCGTCTGTTCGCTTCCGGTCAGTTCACCAGAACCGCTGGTGTCGAAGAGCATCAGGGCGTAGAAAATCATCATGTTGACGCCGGACAAGTGCTGGCCCAGGATCACTCCGAAGCAGGTCGCTATGGAACGTAGCACTCGACGATTCCTTAGCAGCTTCAGGCTAAACTGGTATTGCAGAAATAATTAATAATCCAGTGATATTTTAATAATCGGGGTAATAATTAAAAATTCGGTAATATTCGAATAATCGAGGCAATGATTAATAATTTGATAGTATTTTAATAATCAAATCAGTGGTTAGTAATTCAGTATTATTTCAGTAATCAAATCAATACTTAGTAATGCAGTAATATTTTAGTAATCAAATCAATGATTAATAATTCAGTAATATTTTAATAATGAAATCAATGATTAGTAATTCAGTAACATTTTATTAATGAAATTAATGTTTACCAATTTAGTAATATTTTAGTAATGAAATCAATCGTTAGAGTAATTCAGTAATATTTTAGTAATCAGATCAGTGATTAGTAATCCAGTAATATTTTAGTAATGAAATCAATGATTAGTAATTCAGTAACATTTTATTAATGAAATTAATGGTTACTAATTCAGTAATATTTTAGTAATGAAATCAATGGTTAGAGTAATTCAGTAATATTTTAGTAATCAAATCAGTGATTAGTAATCCAGTAATATTTTAGTAAACAAATTAATGAATAGTAATTCAGTAATATTTTAATAATTAAGAATAATAGCTAATAATTAAGTTTGGAGTTTAGGTTGTCTAGTGATGGAATAGTGTGTTTATTAGAATTTGGATAATAGTGGAATTTTAAATGCATTAAGATATTTAGCTGGATTTAAATGGTACTAGAATTTTATATAGAGTAGAGTGTTTAGTAAAATTGACATAGTATTAGAATTTTAGATAGAGTAGAGTGTTTAGTAAAATTGACATAGTATTAGAATTTTAGATAGAGTAAAGTGGTTAGTAGAATTTAGATAGCGCGAAAATTTCAAATACAGTAGGTATTAGATAATAATAGAATTTTAAATAAAGTAAAGTGGTTAGTAGAATTTAGATAATAGTTGACTTTTAAATAAAATAGAGTGTTAGTAGAATTTGAATGATAGTAAAATATTATACAGAATAGGATGTTTAGTGATGAATAGTGATTCGTGTAATGTTTACGTGAATTGAGTGCAATTCCACTGTTATTATGCAGAAAATAAAAAATAAAAATTTCACTTTATTTTACTTTATTAAAGAAACAAAATTATCATAATTACTGCATCTTTCATGAAAATTTGATCATGAAATTCCTATTCAGTTTATGATCATTCATATAAACAGACTTATATTGCTCCATAATTTTTCATTTATTCACGTGCACAAATAATTTCAGAAATTCTGCTTTCCTACGTAAAAATTTCTCAATTAGCAATTTCATCAAGATGCTTCCTATTTATTTTTGCTCGCAATTTTGATCTTCGCAGAGTTTCAAGCAGCTAACCGAGTAGCGATGAAACATTTCAAACTTCGCAATTATTTAATGGCTTTTGAATGTACAGCCATGCTCCATTTTTTATTGGCGTTTGCACTGGTCAGTGAGTTTATTCACAGAATTAAAAAACAGCGAAACATCTCACGGCATAAAGTATTTTAAGCGACGTTACATCGAGCAATTTCGATTAAATCTTTCGTTTCGACTTCATTTTCTCATTTCTTCAATTTTCTATTTAACCCATTTTATTATATCCCAATACTTTAAATTAAAAAATTAATTTGTCACAAATTATTTTAATCGAGTTCCCATTCACTGCCTCGTTCTTTTCGCGATTGTTTAATTATTTATAAAATACCTATTAAAAATTTTCGATTAAATCTTTCGTTTCGACTTCATTTTCTAATTTCTTCAATTTTCGATTTAACATTTTCGTTTTATTATATCCCAATACGTTAAATTAAAAAATTAATTTGCCACGAGTCATTTCAATCGAGTTGCCATTCACTGCCTCGTTCTTTTCACGATTGTTTAATTATTTATAAAATACTTATTAAAAATTTTCGATTAAATCTTTCGTTTCGACTTCATTTTCTAATTTCTTCAATTTTCGATTTAACATTTTCGTTTTATTATATCCCAATACGTTAAATTAAAAAATTAATTTGCCACGAGTCATTTCAATCGAGTTGCCATTCATTGCCTCGTTCTTTTCGCGATTGTTTAATTATTTATAAAATACCTATTAAAAATTTCGTGTCTCGTTGGTTCCTACGAATTTGCTTTTTAATAAATACTCCATGTTTGACGAATTTTTCAATTGTCGTGGAAATGGAAACTAACGAATTATGTAAATTTGCGTTATTTCTTTTGCTTTGACATTTGGAAGACGAGTTTACGCCTGGTATAACATGTTTTAGCTAATTACAAATAACGAGTAGGGAAGAAATTTTTAACACATCTGTAGTTTCGAGGGTTTTTGTGCCCCTCAGCTGCGTATGCTTCCTTTGTTTGTACAAAAATGACGAAAGACATGTTTTGTCTTCCTGCTGTGTATTTTAAAAAATACACGAAGGATTTTACCTGAGACCATCTGCAGCCTCGAAACTCGTGCAGAGAATTTCGCATACGAGGGACACGATTAACCATGGGAACAGTGAATTTATCAACAAAATGTATGAAATTTGAAAAAAATTCCTTATGGAAAATTATTCGTGAAATCTTGCAACTATTTTAAATAAAATAAATTTTGGTCTGATTGTTATTTTTTAAATAAAACTAAACGCACGAAAGGATACATATATGGTAGATTATAAAAGTAAGTTCTCCGGTTTCAATAACAACAGGAAAAAGCTATCGATATGAGATTTTATAGCGAATAACATATCTTCGAAAATCAATAAAATCCTAAATGGAGGGCTGGAAACATTTTATGATATTTCTTACGTAACCTAAATCCCTGAACACTAAATTTCTTTCCTCCATTTTGTATCGATATAACTCTTTCTAAAACCTACATAAAGCCTGCAGATATAAGAAACACAAATATTCCATTATTCGAAAACTTTTTTACTTCCAGCGTTTACTTTCATCGCGTGGAACGTTTAAAGATGAATTTATCAAACTGTAAACACGAAAGAATTCGTTTCCACGACTTTTAAAAGCATGGAATAATTCAAACTTTTGTGAATGGTTGTAGATTATCCATATATGTACTTTTCAATTATTTATTTGCATATTTAATCATTACATTAATCCCATTATTTTTACTCAATTCAATTAAATCATATTTAATAGATTTTTATTTAATTTTTATTTAATTTAATTATGGGAAATTAAATAATAAAAATTTGAAATTAATTTTTGGCATTCGAGAGGCACCCTTCAGTCGCCATTTTATAAAATTTCGAAGTTCGATATTAATTAATATATTCAATTATTTAATATTATTTTTAATAATTTAAGATAATGCAACAGTGTGCGGGATATCGAAATTAAATAATTCTACCTGTTAATTATTATTATATATTCTTACTTACTGCTAGAAAAATATCATCAGTCTTATAGCAGAAAATTTTTCAACTCGTACACCACTTTAGCCAAAAAATCGTCGAGTGCAAAAATTCCAAATTTTTATTTTTCTAATTTTCTAATTTTATTTAATAATGGGAAAAATATAAATGGCGGAGTTAATCGCTTTGACCTACGAAACACTGGCACAAAGAAATCGTTGTTTCTTACCTGCCTCGAGCGGGTTGCAGGAATCAGGCGCTTCGTTTCGCTGATTTCGTGCTGGACATCGTAAGTGTCGCCGCGATACCATCTCAAGGATTTTTCTGCATTGATCTCGTCGTTCCTCGACAAATAGTAGAGCGGACTCTCGGGTAATAATTTCACCAGCGCGATCGAGAGGCACGCGAGCCCGCAAATTATGCTGTACCTTTACGAGAAAGAATTGATTTACACGCAGTTCCCGGAGAGACCGTACTCTCGTGTCAACCTTGATTTAATAAAGCGTGTCACGATCGAGGAGGGAAAAAGCTTGGACTGTTCGAAGGACGATCTGTGACTCGAGAAATTAATTTTTCATATTTTCTTATTTTTCTCCATGCATGCGGAAATTATTACGTTTGCAATATTATTCTCGCGAATTTTTAGCAGGAATTGTAAATATTTATAGATAGACAAATTTAGTAAAACACGGATTTTTCTTTGGACAATTTCGTGAATTTTGAGAGACTGAAATTTGTTAACAGAAAATTAAGAAAATAATTCTGGAACAGAAGCAGAGGTATTTTAATCGAACATTAATTGGTATTTTAAATAAATTGATGTTTATAGGAATTTAGTATAAATTAAGTTTTGCAGAGTGTTAAGGGAATTTTTGATACTTGGTATAGTAGAAATTGATTTTTATATTAAAGATTAATTCTGGAATTTCGAGTATGCGGGAATAAACCTTGCACAACGTAAAATAGTTTCACGCTGATATGTTAAATTTCGATTGAATTAAACTTCGTCTACCAAAATCGCAGGTAAACTATTCAATTTTGCTTACCAAGCTGTTACACTGAGGTAAAATTAAGCAATTACATGAAAATTATATTGCAACTACATCACAACAAATTTTCATAGAATGAGTCAACATTTCTGCTAGAAATATCAGAGTGCAGAAATTTTTGCATTAAAAAGAGCCAGATTGCAGATTTCATATTTCCACTTTCAATTAAAAAATTGGAAATTTAATTGAATACGACTGGCATTACGGTAAATAAATAAATGAATAATTAAATAAATAATTTGTTGTTGAAATGAAAGACATATATATGTTTGAAAATTCGTGTGTAGTAAATGTACAATAATTGTCACAAATTCGAAGGAAAATAATAATTCATATACCTGCACACAGTTTTATTCTCGTCTAGCACGTGAGCTATGTAGAAGGCGTACATCACGCCACAGTTGATGAGAAGTTGAAAGAACGCGAGCAAACGTCCTCGAATTTCTTTGCTCGCGATTTCGGCCACGTAGATCGGTGTCAGGACACAAAACACACCGCCACACATACCACAGACCAGTCTTCCAACAAGTAGAAACATAACCTAGAAATATAATCTTATCAATATTATAAACACAACACGAAAACCCACGAAAAGAAAATTTTTCTGCGATTATTTACATTTTCTGCAAATTATTTATATTTTGATGTAAATTACGTAATTTAATTTAGATTAATCTAAAATTTAAATTTTTAATTTTAAATTTTGTTCTAGGGAGTATTTTATTGGGGATCAAATTTAGGGTTAGGGTAAGTGTTAGGGTAGGTTAAAGTTAGACACAGGTTTAAGATTCTTCCTGATCCACGAGATTAAAATTATTTCGACAGTTTCTAGATGTAGAACCGTTTTCAGTTACACGATTCACTCTGTGAAATCGGTATAATAACGGTTATAGAACCGATATGATAATGGTTATAGGAGCCACCAGAGACCGGTTATAGAACCGATGAACGAACTGTGGTTACGATCCATTATTGGATGGTCCGTTATTGGGAAGAATTTCTCATGAAAGGGCAAGTCGAAAGTTTGATTCGAAATTTTCGCGAGGAAGTCTTTATCTTCGTAAAATGCCTGTAAAAATTCCTCGAGTAAGCTTATACTAAAGTACTTCTCCAAAATAGAAAATTTCTTGGTGATTTACTAATTAAATAATGCACAGAATCCTAAAATTTTCAGTTCAGTTTCTAACAAAAATTAATTTAACTAATTTAATCATTTTCCAAAATTTATCTCCTCTTCACAATTTTTATATTTCGTATCTCTAAATTATTGGAATAATATTGGATAATGTATATAATATATACCTACTTTAAAAAATATTATTTATATATACCATATTTTTATATATCTATTTTAAGTCGGCAATTCTATTATTAAATTCTCTGCATATTAAACAATAAAATATATATATAAGTATCTCTTTGAATTATTGGAATAATATTGATTAATATATATAATATATACCTGTTTTAATTAATATTATTTATATATACCCTATTTACATACACATTTTAAATCGACAATTCTTTTATTAAATTCTCTACGTATTAAACAATAAAATATAAATATACAATAAAATAAAATATATTAAATAGCAAATACACAAAATACATTCTCATAAAATATATTATATACTCTGATACTGATACTGAATACACAAAAATATATCGAATGTACCAACCCTTATAATAAAATAAAATGTATTAACACATTGTTGACCGGTGACGAATTAACTCGTCTTCTCCTACCCAAACGTTGTTGACCGATGACGAGTTAACTCGTCATTGCACTTGCATTATCTATTTCAATTTATGAAACCCAGGACGATATAGAATATTGAAAGTAATTTTGAAGATTGGATTACAAAATAATAACCAGTGACATGACATAGTTTCTGTGTAAAATTGCTGGTTTATTACTGTTATTTTCGTAATACCAAGCCCAAATCACGACACTCACCTTATAATAATTTTCCTTGATCATCAAGATCCAGCTGAGAAGCAAGATCTGCATAGTCCAGAACATGATGTTCATTCTAGAAATTCGTCGAACGATGAACGGCATTAAAATCGCCCCTATGCAGACGCCAGCGTTCAGAATGCCCCCGATGAGTCCAATTTCGGTGGCAGTGGCGTCCAGGTAGTTCCTCAGCACCACGCTGGCCTTTGAGTTCCAACCTAGCGAGATGCCAAGCGCAAAACCGCCGAGAGACGCTGGAATTTCAGCAAGAAACACGATTGTCAACCCTCTTTTCCCCTGTTCTCTATCCTCTTCCACCGATGAAGCCTCGTTACTCTTCCATCCGTTTTCGTTCATCGTGCTAATTGTCGGCTGTGTACCTAATTTGCTCGAGGACCCCAACAGAGAGACCGTGAACGCAGAGAGGAGGAAAAAATCTGTTTCCTTTTAGTCCTATCCCGTTTTTCAAGAGCAAAGAGGAAATTGGATGACAAAAAGCATCGTTGGGTCTGAGTTCCTTCAACGAGTTATGTTTCGTGCACGTGGTTTCCTTTGTTTGGCAAGTGGGTGATGGTGTCTGGCGGACGTTAGATTGGTGAGCTCGGAAAGGGTGCTTTTTTAGGTGCACAGAGAAGGGTGAGGGTGTGTGCGTGTAATGGTTTCGCGTGAATGCAGCAACTGTGGGTAGAGTTTGGGACGGGTACCTTGATGAAACGTGATATTAAGGTGAATTAAAAGACAATATGAAAAATAAAATATTGGGAAGATAAGCGTGATGATAACGCGAGATACATTTAATTTTTATTCTTTATATACAAAAAATAAAAAATATTATAATTCTAATTATTTGAAATATTCTGTTCGAAATTTATTTATCGATATCAAAGGATATTAAACTGTCGGGAGTTATAATAAAATAAAAATTAAGGAAAATATTTTTGTATGCAAGTACTATTGTCTGGTGTTATAAGAAGATGCGAGTTACATTCTAAAGTGGGAAATTATTCAAAAATAATTAGTTGACAATTCGAGGATATTAATTTGTTCGAGCGAAGGTAATTTTCCCTCATTTTAGAAAATAAAAAGTCATATTTGTATCACAAGTTTGGAAAATGACAAATTTGTTCGATGATTGAAAAGATTCTGAGAGGAATAAATTCAGTTTTATCATCGCATAAATGTTATTTATAATTTAAATCGTCGGAAGTAAAAGCAGATAATATTTTATGCACGTGATATCATATAATCTCATGAATGGAACAAAATATTTCGAGAAAAAATTTGTATTCACTCGCATTGCTATGCAGTAAATGTGAATGTGGACATAAAACGCCAGGAATTTAATTTTAATCCCTGTTGAAGAGAAAGATCAATATTTGCAAAATATTGATATATATTAAAATAAGTAGACAGGAAATAGTATCATCAAAATAATTGTATAAAAGAAATATGTGTATAATTTATGCTAATAGAATTAGAAATTAAGTTTACAAGAATGATTTTAATTAATTCTTCACCTGGATGAATTTCCTTACAAGCTGCATGCTCTGTAATTATTAATTCAAAGACGCGTGTTCATAGAGTATTCCAAATAAAAATACAATGCACAAAGGCTCACAATAGCGAGAAGCAGGCAAATAAGGTATATCAAAATATATATTAACACACATTTGGTTAGCATATTGTCATAATCCCTGAAAGAGACGCATAAAAATGAAAAATTTAATTTCTCAGTATAATCTAATTATATAATTATTTTTATTTTCTATTTTAAATTATATCAATTATTTTATTCAAAAATTCAAGCTCATTAAGAACTTCGTGCTGTTATAAAATAATAACCAAAACGATATTCCCAATTTTCCACAATTTTCGTGTAAAATAAAAAGAAGGACCAACAATTTAACCAAAAAATATTCCCAATTTTTCTCTAAAATAATAGTCGAAATTTAACGAAATAGTGAAAATAATTAAATTTACCAATTGCAATGGACAATTTGCAATATGAGATAACACCTGGAGGAATGAGATGAAGGAAAATAATTGCCCGATAAATTAAAGAATTTTCTCGCTCTTTTAATAGCGTATCGAGGATCTGTTTAATTTAATAAATTATAATATGAGAATTTTTAATCGACGAGAGAAAGAGAGGTTAGCTCACCTACAAAGGCTCCCAGGTATTGGTTCAATTTCCGGATCTCGGCCACGTTGCCGTTGATCGATGGGGTGGTCATCGTCAGCCGGGGATGGGCTTTCCTTTTAAACGATCTCGATGGAGGAACAGATCGACTAGATCGACTCTACGAAACGCGATCGCGGCCTAGTTCCCATTTCAATGTGGCAGTATCGACCTGGGATCTCGTAAAGTCGATCGCAGTTGGCGTTCGTTTTGCAAAACAAAACATAATCGCGTTGTACCGCTTGATCGAGAATTTTATCAGGCACCTACACTCCTGGACAAAAGTTTCTTCCAAAATATCACGACATTGCCCCATTCTAAAAAGCAAATTTTGTATTTCATATTGAACAAAAGTCAGACTAATTTCGAGCATTTCTTCAGAAGGTTTACTATTTTCATTAAAGATCTATTATTATTTTTATTATTTATAAAGGGTGATTAATATTGAGAAAATTCTTCCATATTTTTAATTATTTTTATAAGTCATTCGTTAGTATTTAATTAATTAAATTTGGTACTTTATTTTCATTTTGGCAGATGTCAATATTTGAAACCAAATGAAATATGATACATCGGTAATGGCGGACTCCAGAATTCACAAGATGGAGGACCTTCTTCATCGATTGATCGATGAAAAGTATTATAGGTTCGATTATAGATGAATTTCTTGACTTAAAAAATACCCAATTTTAATTTAAATTGCGAATTTGTGCAAAGAAGATCACTGGTAGTTCATCGAAGCCGAAATAAAACGAAATACTCTACAGTCGAGCGACCTAACCTCAATTTATTCCAGAAAATTCCGACGAATTTGTAAGTTTCAGATTTTCATTAAGTTTCTTAATTTCGAAATACCTAATTTTAACTTAAATTGCGAATTATATGCAACGAAGACCATTGTTAGTCCATCGAAGACAAAATAAAGTACAATTGGCGACCTAACCTCAATTTAGTCCACAATGTAGCGACGAGTTTCTAAGTTTATTTGAGCTCTTCAATGATGGTTTTATGAAATACGTAGCTAATTCGACACGTTTTAACAATGGATTTGTAACAAGGAACGTTTGCGATCGTGGCTCGCGCATGCGTTCTGCACGTATCAAAATTAACCGCGCTCACGCGTACGCGTAAAATTCATTAAAATTTATTTCGAAATTGATCGTGGTCCCGCGTACGTGTGCGAGCACTTCATTAAAATTTATGTCAACGTCAAGACCCGCTGCACAATTAACAAATGCGACGCGTTGCTTTTACAACGCATGGCGGAATATCTGTCGCTGGCGATACGATTTTTCAACTTTTAATCAATCTCGTTGGCAAACGGAACACGCGTAGACGAAAATCGAGGCAGTTGAGAGGACGTTCAATTTTCTGTAATTGTTTTATTCCCTGAAATATCTCTCTTAATGATTTCAATTTGTAAACTCTACTCGTGGATTCACAGTGCACTTGTATTTACATATTTTCGAAAATTTTCTGCTAACTAGCTTCAATTTATCCATTGATATTGACTGACAGATATCGTGCAAGATTCCAGTAATAATTACCATTACTTCAAATATTTATATGACCTCGTGAATTAAATTTCTTAGCTAAAATTTTCAAAATTGTCAAGATTCTGAATTAAACGATCAGTGTTATAAATGACGAGTATATTATTAAATACAGTAATAAGATGACAAAAATTTGTTGAAATTAAGAAAAATTAATGCAAAATTTAAAAAATCCGTGTTTTTAGAGAATCGAAGCTTCTTTTTCACGAAATGAAAATTGTCGATCAATTTGTTGCCATTAGAAAATTAAAATCTATTAGATCTTACTTCAGCAAAGTTTAATATTTTTTCTCAGTGTCTTTTGCAACAGAAATTAATCGATCTAAGATATTCGATAATAAAAAAATTTCAAATTAATTTATTCACGATTGCAAATTCGCCCTGTCAATTAGCAATTACATCAGGGGGATGATATCCGTGTCTCTCGAATTTCTTCGTTCTCATGGAAACGTTCACGCGACAGGAAACAGAAGCTTGCCGAGCAATTGGATTACCGATTACTCTGCGCAGCATTTCCGTGCACGGCCTATAGTTTACAAGCAATTAAGTGGGCCGCACGACAGTAAATGCAAACCCTTGATTATACTCCATTTATCAACGCTGTGCTCTTAACCAGAACCCATCAAGTCGTAGGTGTGCTCTCAATTGGCTCACTGGATGCAGAAGGATTACGCTTGCCATCAGGATGGCCAATTATGTCGTCAGACTGTCCACGTACCACGAACGTATCAATTCTGATTGGGACACGTTTGATAAGCATCGGTTTCCTCGATTTTCTGGGATTAGTTTCATCTTCGTAGCATCATCCTCGAATTTCCACGAGATACCCCTGCTATAGCCGTACCTGGTCTGCCATTTTGTATCGTTTCAACAGTACCTAACTGCAATATATGCTGTATATAATTTATACATATTAGCAACATACGATTTACATATTTCAGACGAAAGATAATAAATTAGCTTCTTTTTCTTAAACAAAAATATTTATTCTTATTTTTATTTTTATTTCTTTTTTCAATTTTGCAACTGAAGAGAAATAGCATGATGTGTCTAGGAAATTTTAAAACAGTTAGTGGTGGATGAAATTTAATAACAATAAGAACAATTATTTGTTTAATTACAAAAATGATCAAACACAAATATTAGGTTGAAATATAATTAGTTTATAACAATCACGTGTTCACACGTCTTATCACTATTAAAACTCAATTGCAACTGACTTATGCCAAATCATTTTCCTGTTTCCTTTCTTCTTTCATACATTACATTAACATACACAATTCACACAACACGTCAATCATTACACGTATACTCGCTTATTATAATAACCTGAATTCATTAGATATTTCCATCCCATGCATACTTGTTCCACTCATTCCAATGTATATATATTTAAAAATCTATGTAATCATTACAAGAGAAACTTAGTGTTGCACTATAATTTGTAAATAATTAATTTTTCGATGAAGATAATTTTTCTTTGTTTATTATAAAATTGTATGGAAACTGCACGATGAATTTCTTGCATAATAATAATTAGAGAGAAATGGAAGGTTGTTTATAGCTGTCGAAGAAATAAACAAAGTTTCTTCAGTGCACTCGATTTTTACCCACGAATCTATCGGATCTCACAGATTCAATATTTTCTCATAAATTCAACTTAGCTTCGTTGATTTAATTTCCAAGGTTATAAAGCCGAGTATACCGATATTAATTGCGAGGAAGGAAAATAGCAGTTTTTCTGGAGCAAATTCCGAATCGGTCCCTTTCGTTTAAATTTCGCGTTTTTAATGATATTGACAGTTTCTAAATTGCGACGGGGATAAAGCGAGGATACGAGGGCGGAGTGTAGAGCTTTTTGTACGTTTGGCTTAGAAGCTGCTCCGTTTCGTCTTGCAGGCCGCTTCGATCCATCAAATAAAGCCGTGTCGACGCAACCAATTTTCGCATCAGTGCCACTTCAAGATTCTCGATGCAAGAAGGCAATTTTATACCGGACGTCAGGCCATCTCTACGTGCGCTGTGCCGCCGCCTGCAAAGTTGCGAGACACCTGACGAAAAAGATGCCTTTAACTGAGGATTACTTTTTCAATATACTCTTTCAAAGGAATACGCGTTTGGACCATCGATTTTCCCCGGTAGAGTAAATTTCGGGAGAATAAATAGTTGTAGAATCGTTCTACTTTTTATAATTTGAGGGAAAGTATAGTAGAAGTTCTAGTATCTATTATCGAATGTCAAATTATACGTCAATTACTGTCAACTGGTTAGTGTCGGCTAGTATCTGTTGGTATATGCTAGTATCAAATGGTATCCACTAGTATTCTACTAGTATCTGCTAGTATGCGTTGGTATTTGCTAGTATCAACTAGTGTCAACTAATATTCTACTAGTATCTACTGGTACTTGTTAGTATCTGCTAATGTCAATTAGTATCTACTAGTATTCTACTAGTATCTGCTGGTATCCGTTAGTATCTGCTAGTACCAATTAGTATCCCTTAATATCAGCTATTATCAACTAGTATCCACTAATATTCTACCAGTATCTGCAAATGTCCTTTAGTATCTGTTAATATCAACTACTATTCTACTAGAATTAGCTAGTATCCCTTAGTACCTGCTAATATCTTCTAGTATTCCTTAATATCAGCTATTATCAACTAGTATCCACTAATATTCTACCAGTATCTGCTAGTGTCCGTTAGTATCTGCTAATATCAATTAGTATTCACTAGTATTCTACTAGTTTCTGCTAGTATCCGTTAGTATCTGCTAATATCAACTAGTATCCCTTAGTATCTGCTATTATCAACTAGTATCCACTAATATTCTATCAGTATCTGCTAGTGTCCGTTAGTATCTGCTAATATTAATTAGTATTCTACTAGAATTAGCTAGTATCCGTTAGTATCGGCTAATATCAACTAGTATCCCTTAGTATCTGCTATTATTAACTAGTATCCACTAATATTCTACCAGTATCTGCTAGTATCAGCTAGTATCCAGTAGTATTCCGTTAGTATCTGCTACTATCTGCTAGTATCCGTTAGTATCTGCTAGTATCAACTGATATCCGTTAGTATTTGATAGTATCAACTAGTATCCAGTAGTATTCTGTTAGTATCTGGTACTATCTGCTAGTATCACCTCATACCAGTTTGCCCTAGTATCTAGTATCCAATATCGATGTATCTTCTTTATAGTAAATTATTTAAACTTTCTACTATTCAAACATTCTAGTATCCAATCCTTTCATCATCTAAACATTGCATTTGCCTCGTAGCTTCGGTGTAAAGTTAGTATCACATTTACCAACGTATAATACTGTCTTTAAGAAAAAAGACGTATGTAATAGGAAATAATTCAGATTTTAAATTCTTTGAAATAATGGAAAATTCGTGCTCTTTTGTAGCCTGAAACTTTAAAGATCGATAAGAGAAGTATATATGTATCGCGTTCCTCAATTAATACTAGTTTACGAAGTGATTTATTGCAAAAAT